AATTCACTGTGAGAATCGAATATAAGACCTCTCACTTACAAGTGAAGATAAATTATGTTGGTGGTGTTGTAGTAGAATAATTTTGGGGGGAAGAAAGTATGATTCTTGAGGATTTATTTATTCCTCAAATATACCATTAAATCCTTATGAGGTTTACCAGTGGATGTGGCCTTGGTTGAAAACTGAAATTAGGTCAAAATATTCCCCTTCACATTATGTTTGGAATAGTATAGTTGTATAGTACAGTCACATACACAACTTTGTTCTCTCTATGCAAATACAATCTTCCATCTCTATCTCTCTAAGAGTAAATTGGGAGGTGGGATTATTGGAAGTTTGAAAATGTGAGTTGGAGAGCTGAGTGCTCAGAGAATTTGTATCTGCCATTCTCCCCATTATTTCAAGCATTTGGTAATGGTCTGCTGAGGCATCAAGAATCTTCATTTGTCCAGTTGTTCTCACTTACTCAGAAAGCAGAGGTACTGTCATAAAAAAAAAATTGAAAATATAGAAAGTAGTTTAACTCCTTATAAGTACATGCAAGGTCTGTTAACTTTCCGACATGAGATTTACACTCTCAAGATCTCGCTCTATCTCAATCACAAGAACCTTAACGACATGACACCTCATAGATCAGCTTCTGAAATTGAGAGTGCACACAGTAGGGACCCAATTAAGGCATCCAAGCACCAAACACTAAATCCAAATAATCAAAAGACTTAACCATCATATAATGAGGTGAGTGGAGTTCCCTATTCCCCCCACTTTATATATCACAAGATAATATACCTTTTAAAAGAAAATTAAAATGCTGTAGCTTTTTAGAATTGCAAAAGTTATTCCTCTCCCCCACAAACGAACATCAACAAAGAACCAGGAAAGTGACCCCTTTTCATTTCACACCTCCTTTTGAGGACACACATGCATGCCTCACACTACAAACTTGCCCTAGCTACTGAGTGAGAACCAGAGAGAGAGAGAGAGAGAGAGAGAGAGAGAGAGAGAGAGAGGGAGGGAGGGCAATGAAGGGCTTCCTATAGCAGTGAGTGGAGATGCATTATAACAAAGAAAGAATCCTCATAAAAACCCTTTGTGGGGAGGGTATAGGATTCCCTTTACTATATCTCTAAAATTCGCCAGACTTTCTGGGGCAAGTCAACGAGAAAGCTGACCTTTTTTAATATCCAAGGGGAATAATAATCCCTCCTCTTATGGTGCTCCCCACTTGGGTAGTGAAAGTGATTAAGGGTATTCGATGTCTTGCATTTGAAAATTCTCATATAATCATGCATCCATTGCTTAAATAACTAATAATCTCTCTCTTATTGTGTAAATTAATATTGATTAAGTTGAATTTACCGTTTGATCAACTTGATCGATGGTTCTCAGTCATCCACGAATATTTTGGCATATTAAACCTATTGAAAGATCAAATTTCTAAACGCATAATGGTTCTTCATTCTCATTTTTCATAGAGGGCATACACACCAAACTTATTATGTCAATTAAAGAATTTAGAGAATATTTATATTATATGCTACGTTTACTTTAGTGGGGAGACAGAGATTATGTAACAAAATCATAATATGCAAAGTCGAAATTTTTTTTACTTGGTAGATTGGAACATTAATTATTGCACATGCTTGCTTTTCTTCTATACTCTCTCTCTTTTTTTTTTTTTGGGTCAGAAAGTAAACTTCGTTAAAGATTAGGGAAAATTACAATTTGTGATCAATTGAATAAGTTCAAACAAAACACAAAACACTAAATAAACAAAGAGAGAGATGAGAGTAAAAAAACTCAAGCCAAAGAAAAAATACAACTCAAAATACTATGGGAAGCTTACACACAGACTTATAAGTAAAATTATTTATATTTAATATTTAAGTAAATAGCAAAATTATAGACAGGGAACTATACTAGCGACCTACCTAATTTTATTGTAGAAATTTTCGGGATCAACGATTGGACCAGGCAAACTAAAAATACCTCTTCTTGGATAAAGAAAGAGATTACTCAATCAATTTCCGTATTGCTCATGATATATATACTAACCCAGGCATCCCTTTCAAATGCATGTCCCATTTTTGCACAGCAAGGTTATGAAAATCCACGAGAAGTGACTGGCCGTATTGTATGTGCCAATTGCCATTTAGCTAATAAACCCGTGGATATCGAGGTTCCACAAGCAGGTACTTCCTGATATGTAAGTTGCAAAACAAACAACAACCAAAATCCCTGCAGAACTCAAACCACCGGCGCCACTGTCTCATCCCCGTGGGAAGCCATCACCCCAAAATTAAGATAACTTTGATTCGGGTGTTATTTTAATTTATACTCTCTTTAATTAAGATAATTTAGATGGAGTCTTAACCATGCATATCGACTACAGGGGAACAAGTTGTCAAGCAGCTTTCCTTAATTATGACGTCACATGCATTTGATCATCAGCAAGTCAAACCTAATCCATGCATCCACTGGGGTCCTTATGTTTATATGATCATGCTTAATTTGAGTTCGTGCAAGTCGCTTTCTAACTTTTTCACTGTTTGCTTTTATTTTTTTGAAGCATATTCATGTATGTTGCCGTGCTTATGTGCATGTATCATATACATATAAATAGGATATAATTTATTTGTATTTGTAATGTTATATGTCTGCAGTGTGATTGACTTGAAATTTTGATCTTACCATATGTTTCAATTGCAAGAAATTTCTTGTTTTATTATGCACTCAATAATCGACATCCCAAAAGAAATATAAAGGTTATAAAATAATAATCTTGTTGATTCAAGAGGAAGAGGTGCTGCAACACCTTAGGCCTTTCAACGTACTGAAATTAACACTATGAACAAAACCCTAAATAAGGCTAATGAGAAAATGGAGGCGTTGCCTCTCTTGACGTGCTGCAGCTGCAATTACTTGTTCGATCAACCTCTTCAGCGAACATTATTTCACTTGTGCTATACAAATGGGAAAGAAGCGGTTAAAGAATTAGCAAATCAATAGTTTGATTTCATCACCAAAAGGTGGCTTGTTTCGTATCAATTATGAAATTACATAAACAATATTTTGTTTAGCTCAGAAATAAAAAGGCACCAACCTGTACAAGGTTTGCCACAAGACATGCAAACTTACATGCTCAACTTGAGCTTTACTTAGTGAATTCTCAATGGCGATCAATAATCCAAACCTATCATGTATTATTATATCTTTTAACTTTCTTATATGATAACGGATGCTTAGCTTTATAATACCTTCCTCAATTGTAGGGAAACTTTTGTCGGAAAAGTTAGAGCTTAGTAATTTGGTTTTTTATTTTCATTTTTATGTTGGGGGTATTTTTAGTACTTTACATCTGAAGAGCTTTTTTAGTAGGATAAGTATTATGGTTTGATTTCCTATTATTTACTAGAGTTTACTATTGCATCTTGTAACTTAGTAGAAGAATCAAGTTTGAGAGGATGTAAAAGAATCAAGTCGTCATTTTTATAGTTATCGTTAAGGACAAGATGCAATTAAAACTAAATTCAAAATTTATTTATAAATCCACACCAATAATCAAACACTCACAATCACACAACTTTTTCTCCTACATTTTACTATGGCTAAAACCCTTATTCTTCCACTCCTCCTATAATAACCAAACCCTAATTCGCTTTCAAACAGAAAAACAGACCCTTTTTTCACGAATAGATGGTGATTTGAAGTTTGAGAGCTCTCCTATATATATGAGTTCAAACTGAAAAATGCCAATCGTGTTTGAAAATCTTTGCCTAACTTTGACAACAAGACATCCACCACATTCCAGTTCATGGCTTCAAATCAGTTGCCTTGTGTTCCTCTGATTTTTTGACGCGATGGCCCGGATTGTTCCCATCCCAAGTGTGGCATTTGAGTTGGGAATGGAACAATCAAGTCGACTTCGATGACCATTCCCATGGTAACCCTAATACCATACCAGGGACTATGGGATCAGGTACAAATCTTTAATTATGATCTACAACTAGGAATCCCGTTGAATATTTTTAATGAATATTTTAAATATTTACCCAAATCCTATAACCCTATTAATGCCGTTTAAATTTAGCTGTTTCTACTTCAACTGATCCTAATTCCCCTTCTAAGGTTTTCCTACTGCCTTCCACCACAATTTGAGGCGCAGACGTATTTGTTACATTTTGGAAACGATATATATAGAGGGTAAGTTAGGCGTAGAGAGAGGTAATATGGGTTTAAACAAATTTAAGAATCAAACTTTGTAATCAATTTTTCTTCATCTTCTTTGTCCTTTGATTTGTTAACATGTTTTTGTCATATCGTATATTCAGTAGAAGTGGTATTTTATCACATGATTCTAACGTTTTCAAAACTCATTAGTTTGGTTTCTTACTTTGAAAATATATTGATGGTGTCATCCACATTTATCCCACACCCCTGCTGTCCAAATTCAACAAAATTTATGTTATGTACTGATGTAGCACACGTGTGGATCCCACAACTCTAATTTGAAGGCATGACGTGGACTAAACAAAAGAAAAATCAATATTAAACATTGTTTAAAATTTTACACCATAAAACTTTCGGGAGTGGGGGGGCCTTGGCATCGAGTTGGGCAGGCTTCCCCCATTCCAGCTTCATCCCCACTTTTTAATAAAAGAAAATGTGACTTGGGCTTGATCTGGTCTAAAGCTTGCAGAGGTGTCTAACCCAAGCTCAATCCCTTACCAACTGGCCTGGTCTAGCTAGCACAATTGAAATTGGATTTTGATTTGAAAAAGAGTAAGCTTCCAGCCCAGCTCTAACCCAAAGTAAAATCAACAAAATCATCCAATTCCAAATCAGTAGGGGATTGCTTTGCACTTTACTGATGAAAACTTTGCTTTAGCTTGGTTGGTGTTATCCACGCTTATTTTTACTTCTCGCACACCGCTCTCAATTTTCGGTTGTCAGATCTAATGAATTGAAAATGATTAGTGATAAAAATTAACAAGAGTATGTGGGACGTAAAAAAGGATACATGAATAGCACTACCCTTTAGCTTTAAGGTTGCTTCATAATTGTCAACTGTACAAGATTGGTTGATAAGATACTAATTCACCATAATCTACTTCAAAATTGTTGGGATGTAAAAAGAATGTTAAACCAATTTGCCCTATCCCTATGAATGACTACTCTAAAAATTGAAAAATCAAAACAATGTATGAGATCCAAGAATCTCTCTCCGTCTCCTCTTCTCTTCCTCCCATTCAAACGCGTAAATCATCGGTCGGAACAGTTGGAAATGACAGTTGAGACTTGAGATCACTTGCAACTCATTGTTTTCTAATCCCATGTCTTCAAGCCTTTGTCCAACTTAGCTCTACATGTATCCTTCCATTTTGGGAATCAATCAAATGGTACTTATGGTTGATACGGCCATTGTGTACCACATCGGCAAGATTAATTTCCACGTATCCCAGTGATTCCTACACATGATGAGATGATACAGAATCTGAGCACTGTAAAGCATGTGGAGAAGAGTAGAGCATGGAAAAAAATAAGGGAACCATGGTGTTTTTCATACCTTGGCTCGGATTAGGGCTCTGCTTTTGCTCTTGACCTCGATAAGAATCTTGTCATTCAAAGGAGGCTCATCGAGCATAAATTGAAAATCTTCGTTCCAAAGTGGATTACGAGATTTCTTAATAATCTGCCAACGAAATAGAAAAAAAAAACTTAAGAAAACACGTGAACAAAACCATGAGAATGCTTACAAGATTTTACTGTCACAAAGGATTGTGTAGAACATGATTAAAGTTAAATAAATAGGTAAATGAAGCCACGAGACTGATTACGAGATTTTTTCATTGAATTTGTGGTTCATGCCTATGTTCACAAAATGTTGTTGACAATAAAAAGGAGTTGACAGTTATCAAAGTGAGGTTTACCTTAGTTTTCTTTTCTTCTCCTCTAAAGCAAAGCAAAGCATAAGGATTGTTGTGATGCTCCCCTTCTACGTCCTCAGCTCCCTGGATCAAAACGGATAGTACACCAGCTCCACTAAGGGACTCATCACTCTCCGATGACCTTCCACTTTCGCTTTTCCCAAAACCATTACTAGATCCATTAAGTTTACTGCTTTCTGATTTGAAAGGAACAAAAGCAAGCTCCACCACGATTTGCCCCCTATGCTTCTTGTTTTGAGGATCATTGATATTTGTGTTCTTGACCAAATCTAGCACAAATTCCTTTGTCACACCGGGTGTTAGTACTTTTAAAGGAACTAACTGCATTCCCAATTTGTCATGTCTGCCAACCTGTGAACACAAAAGACGATAACGTTGTTCACAAATTCAGAAACTAACGAACAGAATCTTTCGTCTAAACCTCACCTCAGACTCAGAGCAGATTTAAGAATAAATTATGGAGACACACTAATGACCAATACGAACGGAGAAAAGTTATTGATTTTAGTCTTATTCAGTAGAAGTTCGTAGAAGCTTATTAACGACCATTTAGCAAGAACTAGTAGTATAATGAACTATGATGATATTGGGAAACTATTGTTCCATGAATATGCTTTCAAACACACATTTGAGACCAAAGAGCTTGAGAACCAATACTGAAAAACACAAGACATCCCTTCTGATTCCCTTTTATCAAAGGACATGGCAACATCATTAACAAACTTCATATTCCTTAGCAGTTAGCATTAAGCAGAGATCAACGCTAATGAGGGTTCACACACTATTGCAGAAGAATTGCAAGAAATAACAAAATCAAACGGATTAATATTAAAATTTAATAAATTAGTATTGAGCCAAAAGAAACAGCTGAGGGGAAAACCTTGTCCCAGTCATAGAGTTGTAACTCAAGAGCTTGAGTTTGAGGGTCCTTCACAAGAAGCTTGAACTTCTCATTCCACTCAGGATTCAACTTATTCATTTTGATACTGGTTTGCTTTGCTGGCAACCTATCTTCAGTGAGGGTTAGTTTGACGTAAGGATCGGAACTTCCCAAGATGTCCATCTTCAAAAGCTTCAGCGCTCGAATAACCTTTACATGAAGGATCCCCACAGGCTTCTTGGCAACTCTGTTGAAATATTTAAAGGGAAAATCATTTTTGTGAAACAAAAAGATATTTGAAATAGATATAAGTAAAACAAAATATACAATCAATCAATTTTAGGTGAAAAGAATGAGCTAGATGTGCCAAGGCCAGCTGCACCATCTCATAGTTACTCACGTTGAAGCGTCAAGAACAGGTATTTCCAGTGTTTGAGGCCATAGATAGAGGCCTGCGACTTGTTTTTTGATGGTCTCCTGTAAACACGTAAATGGTTAGTTAAATCAAATCAAACCAACATCTGCACATGCATAAATCATCTACACAGCTATCCAAAACTCATCTAATGTATAATCACAATCCTATCCAGAAATGAATTACTGGTGAAGCACCTGAACAAACCAATAAAGGCCTGGTATGGCCATGATGTCCCCTCCCAATACCTTGATTCCAAAATCGACATGTGGCTGCAAATAAATTGAAGAAAAAAAAATCATCTTATCAATGCAAACCAACTAAACCAGTCAGAAAAAAATGCAATCCAAAATAAAAAGTGAAAAAAATAAAAGAAAAGTTAGCTCTTTTGAGACCTTCTCCAATAAAGACACCACAATGCTTGCAAAACATGGAAAAGTCGGCACTAGAGGTTTCAGAGTTACCCGTGGTGCTGCAAATACTTGCAAATCCACTAACTGAGAATAACAATAATCAGTATTCTGAAAACAATGCATCAAGCATAGCATCGTATAAATAATAAAATATACATATTCTTCTCCTAAAGGATTTTGCTTTGATTTGTTACCTGAACTGTAATTCTTAGAGACAACAACTTCAACACCAGAACTATGTTAGGGTTGCCAGCCCATCTAAATGCCGGTTCCATGACTAATTCATTCTCATTAGTCTCATAAACTTTTAGACCTGTAAGATTCAAAAGTAACCAAAATATATCATAATAAATCTCGAAGGGTTAATGCATAAACCAAATATTGTTTTGAATTTTAACCATGATTTGCACACGTTATGCGAATATCCTTTTAGTTCCACGTTGACGGATGTGAGATAAACAGAAATATGCATACAAAACAAGGAAGAACTGTCACTTATGAATCAATGGGAGTGGGGCCCTAAACTTCTGTAGACTCATCGTCATCGCATTTCAAATTTAACAAAGAGCATTAGAAAGTGCTAGATAAGAAAATCAAAATGCCTTTTGCACTCAGAAAATATTAAGCATTTATGATTAAGCTATCAAAGTGAGTAGGCTAACCATAAATTATGGGTGGCAGATTTCCAAGACTCAACTTGTCAAATTCAATATCCTCAATGTGATACTTCCCTATATACTCAGCGAATATAGGTTTTGCCATGCTTCTTATTGTAGAACAAATTGCCTGCACAATAAATAACCAGTCTCTTAAAAAGCCGTGCAAAAAAATACAACTGTTAACCAGATTATCACCTTGTGAAGGTAAGGCCACATGTCAACGAGAAACTTGTTTAACCAGTCAACCTGCACAGTGATGCGTATAATCAACATTGAGGTGAGGTGTTAGCAGGAGTGAGAGAAAGAAAGGGCAAAGGCTCAATGTAATAAGACTGAGAGGAGATACTAACTCGTTCATAGTCGGAAAATTTAACCCACATTGGTATTTCAGGTAGAAGACCTTGCAAAGTACTAGAATCTAATTCGTGCAGCGGCCTGATAATTGGATCCTGCAACATTAAGTATGTTGAGCACTATAAACGTTTAACACTTCACAGTACTTTTGTTTAGCAGTGTTCGATGTTCATCGACTCAAAAGTCATACACCAACCTCTTAGTCACAATCAAAGATTCAAGAGGGGAAAGCAGGCGAGGTGAAGTTAATTTTGGTTACATGAAGGATGAAAGGTTCACTTGATGGCTTATTGGTTGCAGAAGAAAGAACAAAAGGGTAAACTTACCAATTGGTTTTCTTTTGAATCAGCATAAACTCTCTCTCAAATAATTGAAGACATAAGCTCAAAATTCAAAAATAACATAAAAATTGGAATTGAAGATTTCCCAGTTTCTTCTGAAACTCAGAAATTCATAAGAGATGCAGGTGATACTGAATGCAATCAAATCCATGCAAGACTGGAAAATTAAACCATTTGTTTGATCCAAAATCTCAAAACACAAAAAGATCAATTAATTAAGCGAACACCATGAGCAACCAAAAAAACCCAGAAATCAAAAGCTTCAAATAGTAAAAGATTTTACCTTCACTTCCTCAGGCTCTGAATAGATGAAAAGATAGAAACCCACCAAGAGTCCCACCAAACTTCCAATGCCAAAGCCGATGAATCCCAAGAAAGTGCTTAAAACTCCCATCTTTTTCCTCTGCTACTTCAGGAAGCTGTAGAACCAAAAGAAGAACTCTAATCCATTTTAATATCCAATAAGATTTAAAAGCGATAGGTTGTCTTTTAAGTGAAAAATACAGTGTCTGAGAGTGAGAAGAGCGCCAAAAGAAACAGAGAGTCACACGCGGTGTTGTTTCACCTTCAATTACTATGGCTTTCTTCTTCAGAGTTTGAAACTTTGAATTTGTTTTGTTTCTTTTCTTTGCCTCGAAGGAAACGGAAACGGCCCTTTGCCTGATGAAAATTTTTATTGTAACGGAAATATGGTTGGTACACCACGTGTTTTTATGTAAGTAGTGAAAAATTTTAATTTTTAAGTTAGTAACTTTTTAACACAAATCCCACAATTTCTATAATGACACTGTGATATACCACCTCGTGTGTCAATCACACTGAAAAGTCTCTCCATTGCCTGATCACCAGCGCCTCTCAGTAGTCACTAAGTGTACATGTAACTCCTAACATGATTACTGGTTTTTACGTTCTCAATGTGGAAAGAGTAATAGTTATTCATACCATGTTTTTATATGACATTTATATATCATCTTAGGTGGCATCTAATGTGGACTGCCACATCATTTGAAAAATTTGCAAAATCCAACGAAAGGAAGGAGAAAGACTCATTGTATATCGTAATCATCATTTAATTAACTAGTTTTTCTTAATTATTAGTTTATTAAATAATGAACTAAATTTAAAAATCTAATTAATTCAAATAATGTGGTTGTTCATATCAAATGTCATCTAAGATGATATGAAAATGTGGTATAAAAACATAGTATGAATAATATTACTCATGTGGGAAATGACATTGTGCCCACGCTTGCCAATTCATAATTTGTAAAGTGCAAAGCAGGTCTAGAACTCCTAACCTGAGTTTGAATTCGAACTCTCACAGATGCATTTTTGGGCACCACAAAGTTGGTAATTATACAAAAGGTTGTCTCTATCGTAGAGCAAAGATACGCTAAAGTAAATCACCGCCAAGTAGATCTAATGATCCCAAGAAATGCATTAGTGAGAATTTGAACTCAGGTTAGAAGTCAGTTTCCATTAGATCAACTCATTGGCTCATTTTCCATTAGATCAAATTATTGGGGTTAATACTTAATGTGGGAGATAATTTTAAGTGGGATGAGCTATCCTTATTAATTAGGCATGATTAAAATATCCGGTATTCTATCAACCTACCTAACTAAACAACTTGTCCTCCTGATGATGAAAGCTTGTCACCCAAAAAAGACCCAATTTTATGTGTAATAGGAAGGTGTATATTATTTGCTGAATAGCTTAAAAGGATATTTTTCATACTTCAAAGGAAAATAGATAAATATATCGTCATAAAAATGATATAATATGTATGTATTTATTGAGTATATAAAAACCATTAAATACAAGTGTTTTGGGACCATATGGTCATTTGCTTTACTTGAAATGCTATGGATTAAGTACAAGTAAACCTTGATATATCTTTGGAGAAATAAAAAAATTCCTAATGTAAGTGAATACATACAACACCAAGAAAAACCAACAAAGAAAAGGTAGGACAAGGATTTCCATTTGGTTTTCAGCTAAATAATGGTTTCTGAGAGTGGTATAACTCATTACTTTGGGTTCTGAGATTGTAAATCAATAGAAGTGATCCTTGAGTTTGTCCACTATCAATTATTTTTGTTCTTCTATGAAAAATCTGTGTTAAATAGAGACTAAAATGATAAAAACACCCTCAATTTAATAAACAATGGGCCGAAATGATTGTAAAAATGTTGAGGGTATTTTTGTAAATTTTGGTTCCTTTTTAACAGAAATTTTCATCGAATGACCAAAATGATTAATGGTAAACAACTACCTCTATCGATTTTAAATCTCATGAATTAACGTGAGGAGTTATACCAATAACCATTTTGACTAAAAAACTTAATAATAAAACACAAAGTTTAATAGTTGGAGATTCTTTGCAAGTGCTCGAATATTACGGGTTTTGGAATATTACATGCATTTTGATTATTTTCCAACAAAAAAAGAATATTACTTAATCGTTTTAACATATCCTGTTTACAATGTTGCTTGATGGGTTGGCAAAACATTAAACTTTCAGAAAAATTAATAGAATATGTCTGTGAGTACAAACTGAAGGAATCTTTTAGTTTTAAATACAGACGTGGATGGTCTGCTCTCCCATTTCCCTACTCTTCTCATGCTTTCTATTTGTGTGGTCACGATTAAGCCACGTCAACATTTTATATTCCTATTACTTTTTGTTTTATTATTTCTATAAAAAATTAATATAATTTTTATTGGTGTTACGCGTATTTTACAAGTTGAAACATTAGCGTTGACGTAAGTACTTTTTCAAGCAGTTATATTACAACTCAAGCATGTTATTGTCGAATGATGCTCCAAATATGTTAAATTCTGTGCTCGAAATCCTCATTCTTAAATCACTTCTATAACCACGAAGCTAACTTGGCACGTGGAGATTGGTTTGCCAGTGCACACTAAATATGATAAAAAATATTAATACGTAGGAAGAAGAAAAGGGTCAAAGTTTGGAAGACTGTACTATTCTATTATATCAGGGGAAACCTAACATCTGGTTTTCTTCTCCTTTTTTTTAAGCTTCTTCGTCATCCTTTTTTCTTAAATAATGGCTTTGATGAATAAGCTTCTCTTATATAAATTGTAATGCACTAAGTACCAAAGAGATTTTTAAGTGTGTTGAAAACATGATCCGCAATATTAAGTGTATTACATTACATTTAACGTACTGAATTGTATTTCCGACACATTAAAAAATTTCTCATCAGTACCCAAGTCAAAGATGATTAACACACTTAACACAGTTTTCTATATTAAATAAATATTAGAATTGCTAGATCCTAGATATAAAAATGTGTTCACACCGGCTTTTCCAATGTCTTGTTTGCTGCAACTCGGATCTGCAGATGCAACCTAGCCAGCCAAAAAATAAGACTTAATGGTGAAATACATATATATTTGTATATTAACAATTAATAAAAATATTTTCCTGTACAAAAAAAAAAACGAAAATTGTTGCATTATTTATTAAAACAGCAGGATTTTTTTTTTAAATTCGCACACATTTTTTTTTATATTAACACTGTTCTAAATTCACAGCTTTAGCATTAGGGGGTGTATTCAATTGAGAATTTGAGAGACTAATAGATTTATAAATTCATGATTTTTATGGAGTTTAATTGATTTGTAGAGATTCTATATTAAGCGGGGTGTATTCAATTGGGATTTTAAGAGAATTTAATTATTTTAATGAATCTAGGGGTATTCAATCAGGATTTTCGGTAATTTTCTAAAATTCAAGGTGTATTCAATTAGAATTTTAAGATAGTTTATTAAAATCCTTAGAAATCCGGGTGTATTCAATTAGGATTTTAAAGAAGTTTATAAAATTCCAAGTGTATTCAATTAGAAATTGATTTTAAAGAATTTGAGAAAATTGAGGAATTAGAAGGAATTGGAGAGATTTCGTAGTGTATTTTAAGCATCCACAAATCTCACCTCTGCCCATGAGATTTTGAGGGAATTGAATCAAAATTTAATATGGAATCTCTACAAATCAATTAAACTCTATAAAAATCCATGAATTTATAAATCCATTAGAGTATCTCAAATTCTCAATTGAATACACCCCCTAAATTTTGATTCAATTCCTTCGAAATCTCATGGGAAGAGGTGAGATTTGTGGATGCTTAAAATACACTACGAAATCTCACCAATTCCTTCTAATTCCTCAACTTTCTCAAATTCTTTAAAATCAATTTCTAATTGAATACACTTGGAATGTTACAAACTTTTTTAAAATCCTAATTGAATACACCCGGATTTCTAAGGATTTTAATAAATTATCTTAAAATTCTAATTGAATACATATTAAATTTTAGAGAATCACTGAAAATCCTAATTGAATTTAATTATTTTAATGAATCTAGGACTATTCAATCAGGATTTTCAATGATTCTCTAAAATTTAATATGTATTCAATTAGAATTTTAAGATAATTTATTAAAATCCTTAGAAATCCGGGTGTATTTAATTAGGATTTTAAAGAAGTTTATAACATTTCAAGTATATTCAATTAGAAATTGATTTTAAAGAATTTAAGAAACTTGAGGAATTAGAAGGAATCGGAGAGATTTCGTAGTGTACTTTAAGCATCCACAAATCTCACATTTTCCCATGAGATTTTGAGGGAATTGAATCAAAATTTAACATGGAATATCTACAAATCAATTAAACTCCATAAAAATCCATGAATTTATAAATCCATTAGAGTCTCTCAAATTCTCATGGAATCTCTACAAATCAATTAAACTCCATAAAAATCCATGAATTTATAAATCCATTAGAATCTCTCAAATTCTCAATTGAATACACCCCATAAATTTTGATTTAATTCCCTCGAAATCTCATGGGAAAATGTGAGATTTGTGGATGCTTAAAATACACTACGAAATCTCTCCAATTCCTTCTAATTCCTAAACTTTCTCAAATTCTTTAAAATCAATTTCTAATTAAATACACTTGGAATGTTACAAACTTCTTTAAAATCCTAATTGAATACACCCGGATTTCTAAAGATTTTAATAAACTATCTTAAAATTCTAATTGAATACACATTGAATTTTAAAGAATCACTGAAAATCCTGATTGAATACCCCTAAATTCATTAAAATAATTAATTATTTTAAAATCTCAATTGAATACACTCCGCTTAGTACGAGCAAGCAAATCCACCTTACCCTCTCTATTTCTGAGCTTTGCATTCAAAGATAAGGAGTTCGTAGGATAAATCACCATAAAAGTTTAGACTCCCTATTATTGTGCAGGACTTGAACTTTTACCTCACCCATGAAATTTCCAATGGTCCATCCTGCAAAGTAGCAAGTCATAGATGATCGAAGAGTTCGACTTGCGCTTTCACTCAAGATTACTGTAGCGTTGAATTTTCCATTCCTCAAATCATCTTCCAGCTAATTTCAACATGTATCACTCCATTTTTTGAATTGATTAAGTGGTATTTGTGGTTGATCCGCCGTTGTGCACAACGTCTCTTAGATTGATTTCTACATGTCCCAACGATTCCTAATGATAACAATCGAAAGAAAATCATAAGTTAAAACGTTGTCAACTATGAGCAGAGATTACTTGTTTACTAGTACTAGTTGTGTAAACGAAAGTATAATGGTTGAACTATTTCACACCTTCATTCGGAAACTAATGCCGGTCCTCTTGCTCACAACCTCAATATGAAGTTTCTCATTCAAGGTGGCTCATCTAGCATGAAAGGGAATTCCTCGTTCCAACGTGGATCACGAGTTTTTCGAAGCATCTGAAGAAACCAAATTGTATCAACTGTTACCAGAAAGATTGTTACATTGCTGCTAACCAGAGACTAAAACCAAAACTTACATGTGTTTTCTTCTGTTCTCCTCTAAATAGGAGGATGGCATAAGGATTGTTGTGGCACTTCCCTTCCACATTTTCGGCTCCTTGAATAATAACTGATAGTAAACCTGCCCCGACTAGGCTTCCCCCATGTGATGACATTGACATATCAATTCCGCTTTCATTTCTCCTATGTGCTGCATCAATAGGTCCACTAGATCTGCTTTTGTCTTCTTTGAAAGGCACAAAAGTTAGCTCCACCACAAGCTGCCCTCTTTGCTTCTTGTGTGAACTATTGCTAATATTCGTGTCCTTGAGCAAATCAAGTGTAAATTCTTTCGTCTCATGGGGTGTAAGTTGTTTGAGAGGAACTACCTGCATTCCTATCCTATCATGCCCACCAACCTGCAGGAAGAGCAAATTTGAATGATTAGAGACAACCATACGTCTAAAATATAACTACGAGATTTTTTTGCTTCCAGTAATCCTATATTTTGAAAAAAGTGTAAGTAGGTAAGAGAGGAAACCTTGTCCCAGTCAAAGACTTGTAACCGAAGAAGTTGGGTCTTTGGATCCTTCACAAGAAGCTTGAACTTCTCGTTCCACTCAGGGTTCAGGTTTTTCTTCTTGACAGTTGTTTTCTTTGCTGGTAGCCCATCTCCAGTCAGGCTGAGCTTGACATAAGGATCGGATGATCCTAAGATATCCTTCTTCAAGAGTTTAACCGCATGAACAACATTCACGCGCAGTATTCCCACCGGCTTCTTTACAGCCGCTCTGTATAAATGAAAAAAAATCATAAAATGCTGACAAAGTGACTAAAGCAGAAATCTGCATTATCTCAAATTAACTTACGTTGAAACGTCAAGGATAGGTATTTCAAGCGTCCGAGGCCAGAGGTAGAGGCTTGCAACTTGCTTTTTAATAGTCTCCTGCAGGAAATTATGTCATAGTTGATTCAAATCCAACCAAACATTTAAATGTCAGACAATTAGATAAAATCCCAACTTCAACACGAAAGTATTACCAGTGCAGCACCTGAACAAAACGATAGAGGCCGGGTATAGACATGATATCGGCTCCCAATATATTCATTCCAAAATCTAGATGAGGCTGCAGATAGTTAAGAGAAACTTAGCATACAAAACAGATCTTATTTATCCAACCTTTTTAAGGCACGAAAAGAAATATGCATTAACTGGTGTCTTCTGCTCACCTTCTCCATCAAAGACACCACAATGTTTGCAAAACATGGAAAGGAAGGCACAAGCGGTTTGAAAGCTATCCTTGGCGCTAAATATACTTGTAAATCTACTAACTGAAATGAATTTTGGTCAAGTTTCTGAACAAATTCATCCACATTGAGAAAACGAATTACAAAAGTCTTGTTCCTCTGTCAAAAAATGTTTCCTTAGGCTCTTCTTACCTGCATTGTAATTCGTAAAGACAGAACTTTTAACACCAAAATTATGTTGGGGTTTCCAGCCCATTTTATTGATGGTTCCATGACTAATTCCTTCTCGTTCGTCTCAAAGACCTCTAAACCTGAAACGTTATAAATAAAAATAAATTATAACACCAGATGGACAAGCAAATGATGTTTGTTTGCTACTAGAACTGTACTTTTCCTCGTGATGTATACATTTATGCATCAATATGTTTTCTTGGTCATAAGCTTTGGTCAAACTTTCTTCAATAATATATATCGTGTCTTTCTTTCTTTCTTGTTGGAAGCATTAAGTTATGTAGCCAAATACTGAGACTTAAGTAATCAGCAGGTCTAACATAGACTGATTGAATATTCATCCCTCCTCTAAAAAATTACGATGATTTTTACTGCGAGTATGCATAACTATTTCTGGATTTGAAGTTATTGTTCAATGGAGGTTCTTCAAGACTGAAAATATATGCAGGACTTCAGAAGAGAACAGAAAGTGCTGATCTATAAAACTGAAAACTATTTGTGCACACCAATATGCAGTAAACCGAATTAGAAATTGCTGTGACCAAACTCACCGTTAAGAATAGGAGGAAGAGTTCCCATATCTATTCTCTCAAACTCAATTGATTCAATCTGAAACTTTCCAATGTACTCATCAAATATAGGTTGAGCCACGCTTCTTATTGTTCCCGCAATTTCCTATCAATAATGTTAAAATCATATATCAAAATTACAACATTATTAACAACAATTGAAAGGGATTCAAAATGAGCAAAGATTAGAATATCACCTTCTCAAGGTAAGGCCATAAATCTGCAATAAATTTATTCAACCAGTCTACCTGCAAAGTTGTGAACATAACCAATACATAATGAATAAAGATATAGCTTAGGAGAAGCAAGAGAAACGATACTAGAATTTTGATACGGAGGAGATTGGAAGGGGATACTAACTCTATGATAATTAGGGTTCTTCACCCACAGTGGAATTTCAGGAAGAAGATCTTGCAAGGCCAATTCATCTAAATCATGAAGTGGCCTGCAAACTGGATCCTGCATAGTATGTCAAGTTACTATAAGCAAATGCAGACATGGTTGGCATAATTTAACTTTCTTCAGTTTATAATCTTAGTATTACACATCAGAATTTAATTTAATTGGATTCTTTGAAGTGTTTACTGAGAAACCGATGTTTAAGAATTTGATAATTGCTAGTGAAACAATCACTCATATTTAGTGAAACAATCCTCCCATCTTTTGCATAGTCTTTGACATGAGTTTAGCAGCTTGTCTCAACTTTCAAATGAATCATTAATTCCATTACATTCTCACATCAGATGATAATATAAATTGAAAAACTGAGTGAAAATAAACCCAGGATGAGAGCTTCACAACATTCTAAATTAAGACTAAGCTGGTGGAATAAAGAAAAAAACAATTAGACATCTACAAGGGCCTTGTATCTCTGTTGGTTACGAGCATTCACCCCGGCATTCGAGTTCCTAAGTTTGATTGCACCTCCCCTGATATTGCTTGTATAAAAAGAAACGATTAAACATCTTTGCTTTTCATTTGAATTTTCCCATGGAAAATAGAAGCATGATCAAGAATATACAATTTGCATTGCCAATCTGGAAAAATCAAAATCTGGCTGGAAACCAGCTAAAAATCAATTTGAAAAGAAAGTAAATTATCCAAGAGACGTAAATAATTTATCAAGCATAAATCTTTGCAATTATCAATACATGAATGATCAAAAAAAGAACAATAAGGAAATGGATTTACCTCAACTTCTTTGGGATTTGAATAAACAAAAAGGAAAAACCCCACCAAGAGTCCAAGAGGAATTCCAATTCCAAAACCAAGAATTCCCAATAAACTGCTCACAAATCCCATCTTCTAAAACCTCCCAAAAACTCAGAGAACCGACATGCATTAACGACAATTGGCACCTAAGCCACCGGAAACTTTGCCAGCAAACAAAACTGGCTCCAGCGATGGATTCTAAGGGCAGAATGCGCTGATCAGAAGCGTTTCTAATAAACTCCACAACTCAAACCGCCAAAACAGAAGAAACTTCTGAACTAGTTCAAAACATCCACTGTTGTAACAAAACTGCTTCCTCCAAATAGATTATGAAATGACCTAATTATCCAATGTCGTGTTTGTTATATTTTGTATATGTTACAGCTTGAAGGCCACGTAAACCCTCACAGTGTACGTATGGATGATCTAAATTTTCCTTTTCTTTTCTAGCAATTATTATAGGGGTTTGTGGGCTGTTTTCAGGCTGTCGAATATTCTATTTTTTTTTTTGTCAAAAATTTCTATTGGTTGTAGTCTTTTAGATTTATGTAGAAATCACAATTGAAGAAATTAGAATCTCCTACATTTTTTTCGATTCTTTTTAGATCAAATTTTAGTTTTTTTTTCTTTTTAAGATTTAATTAACACGCTTTAGGGTAGATAATATCATTTATTAAAAAAAAAATTGATGTGCTTTGACCAATTCCCACATGAGCATTTTAAAATTATTATTTTTTAAATCACATGAATTGCCGACAATCTAGGAAATTTAATTTCCCCAATCCCTTGAATTCCTACTCTTTTAATGACTTTTCCAATAAAAGTAATAATTAATTTAAGTAAATTCAGTCACTTAATACTACGGTATAGTGGTAGTAGTGGTAATCTTAATACAACGGTTTAGTAGTACGGTCTAGTAGTTCACTTATTCTATTAGAAGTTTATTTTAATAATGGTCTAGGTGGTAAAAATTCCCTCAAATAAAATGAAATGAAATTGATCGCTGCAATTGTAGGGAAAATGTTAATTAAATTTTCAAATGGAAGAGATGTTTATTTTATGGCATTCAAAAAACAAGACATGTATGTCAAAACACCTCGATTATTAATTCAGTTTGATTGTTTCTTTCTTTTCTGTTCATCCCTGAAGACACTATTTCCTTGTTTATGGGGGCATCCGGCTTTGAATCTGTTCATCTAACATACGTAAAAACTACAGTGAGACCTTGCAAATAATGTTTTCTTGTTAGATTAAAAGTGTTCTATTTATTGGTTTGAAGAAATGGGTAATCCAAACTTACAACCTTCTTAATTCGCTCGCAAATATCGAAAAGTCTCACCACCCCAGCCAGCTTTTTGGTGCGGCCAACTATATATTCCACTCGAGGAATGCTAAGAAGATTTTCTCAAAAATAGGACTTTTTACTCCATCAATTTTCTGCCACCTTTTAGTTTAACATTAATTTTTATATCAATATTATAAAACATTGTACCAAAAATACAAGAAGCAAATAATCTATAAAAAGTCACACTTTCAAGAAAATCTACTTAGCATTTATCATATTTCGACAATTAGTTGAATAGACTTCGAAGTATGTTCATGACTCATGATTGAAGGTAAATTTGGAAAAGTATTAAAAACATGTATTAACCAACCAATATCAATTAGAAATAGAATTTAGGCCTACTCCAAACCTAGCTACAACTTCAATAGGCCACTAAAATCATTTGGACATCAGCCAGTTATATCTCTAAATGGGCTTTACATTGCGTATACACCTTTTTTTTATTTTTTGTTTTTTGTTTTAGATAAAACTCACACTTGAAGATCTACAGGGTCTGCCCAACCTTGTATTAGCCATGGTGATTAGGCTACATACACTGTGGATGCTATTCGCCAATTGGATGGGACTTAAGGCCACTTAGATATTATTGTGCCTTTTAAAAAAATTCTTTTTCTGTGATGTGATGAAAGAGTAATCAGTTGTAAGGTAAAACAATTACCTATTTGATAAACTATGTTTATAAATATGAGCGTCTGGAAACCCTTATAAGTGTTTGTTCTCTTATAAGTGTTGTGACTATTTTTTAATGACAAAAAAAAAAGATGACGACTTCAAAAGTTTTTTTAGGGTATGTTTGTCCTGCTTTTAAAAGGGTTAAAATGATTTTTGATAACCAAAAACGTTTTGGACTATATTTGACAAAAAAAACTTGAAAGCATTTTTGGGTAATAGGAGTGCTCTCTGAAGAAGCACATAGCATGAGAGACAAACGTTATTTGCATTTTTAAGAAGCACTTCCAAGAGCTATTCTATGAAGAGCTTGGATTTTTAATAAAAAATTTTGAACTTTGATATAAAAGAAATCTGACATTTGGTACTACAATCTAGTGGTATTCATCTACATCTATAAGTGAGAGGTCTTGGGCTCAGTTTGAACCATATTATTGCTAGCTCATTGTGAGGCTAAGCCTACCCTCTCGCTCTCCTAGAAGTTTCTAAATATAGGGAGGGAGAAAGAAGTTCCTAAGAGCATCTCCAAAAGAGATGTCTAATTCCAGGTGGCAGTAACAAATTAGAAGAAAAAAAATAAATGTATGAAATATCTCCAACCGAAGCTGTTTAATCCTACATGGATTGACCTTTTGATGCATGTTGTCAAAATTGGCAGGGATGAGAGAAGGCGTCAATTTCTTCTATTTTCTTGGTTTTATACTAGGGCTCACATAACATTTCTATTATTAGAGTGACCAACAATTTCAATTGGTCGGGCATGAAAAAGGAGGCGAAAACTTTTGTGGCAGCTTATGACACTTGCCAACGGATCAACTATGAGACAATGAAATCCCATGGACCATTGTAGCCCCTTCCCATTCCCACCCAAGTTTGGACAGACATTGCGAGGGATTTTATTGAGGGACTCCCAAAATTGGTGATCATCAGGTAGCTTCTCCTACCTTGCCTCCAATCTCTTGTGATGGTGTTTTCATAAGGTCCCCTGAAAGAAATCCTTCAACATGGTATGTTCAAGCGTGCCAATTGAGCAGTCACTCGTTGGTTAATCAAATGGGAAGGTCTTCCAGAGCATGCTGCCACATGGGAGGATGCTGATTCTATATTGGACCATTTCCCTGAGTTTGTGGCCTGAGGACATGCCCTTTATAAGGGGGGTGCCATGATGGGCCCTTACCATAACTCAATGTCTCCAAGCTGTTCCCTTTGAATTGTAGTTGCATTAGTTATATATGGTGACTCAGCACCAAACCTTTTATCTTGTGGCTTGTGGATATATATGTCCCCTTGGTAGTCCTTGGAGTTTTTATGAAATGAATTAAACCTTTTAGCTTTCTCTGCATTTTTCTTTACTCTGATCTTTCTCCCCTGTGCGGCTGGAAACCTAACACACAAAGCTGCTGCAGTAGTAAACAACCCAATAATTTCCTTCCTACTTTCCCAGCTCTATCAAGTTCAATGCCACACGACACAAATTGTGTTTACATGCAAAGAAAATAAGAGGCTGAAATTGTCACATAAAAACAACCTGCTTTACACTTTGTGATTCATGAAAGTTGACGTGAGACGAAAAGCACCAAAACATTTATAGGTGATTTTGATCAGGCCATCTGAGACCAAGAAAAAATTAGGTCATAGTGCTGCTCCCACCACCTTGCAGTCTGCAGACAACGTCAAAGAGGCTACAGCTTCTGCTGTGCTACACTGTGTGTTGTTACCGAGTACAAATTTCCCTGTTGCTACACATGTTTGTCGGTTTCAAATACTATATGAGCTCTTTTCTTACTACTTTACCATGTTAGACTAGCTCGACCTCGACTTTGACCTCAAGGTCTACCGAAGTTGTTGAAGGTGCGCTAATCAGAAATTGAAAATTGTTTAGAAACTAAACAAATATCAAATAACAATTAACATTTGCTTCTAACAATTTTAAGCTCAGTTGTTACTTCTAGGAAAAGCCAATTTCCAGGGTGCTATATTTTTAAATGGGGCATTTATATTTAAAGGCCTAAATAAGATCAATTTTTATTATAATTTGAATGGTTTTATAAATCTAATTTCAGTCCAAAATTTAAAATTCATTATAACGTCATGTTAAATACCCCTACCCACTTTTATTATTTTTGAATTTTCTTTCTAAAATTCCTAATTTAATCATCAATTAAGCCTTAAAAGTAGGAATTAATTTCTAAAAAAATCAAATTTAGCAATTTAAAATGGAAGATTTGTAAAAACATTTGGTTAATGAGAAATAAAAGTACATAAAAATTTGGAGAAACAATCACAAAATCAGACAAATAAAACTATTGTGCAGACGCAATAAATAATACACTAAATATATATAGGAAACATATACATAAGTGCATATGTATAGGTACACAAATTATATATACATATATGTGTATACACATTAATTACCCTAAGAAGAAATCTTTTATTCAGTTTGGTGTTGATCTTCATAGTTAATAGCTCTTCCACAGTGTTACCGAGTACAAATTTCCTAGTTCCTACACATGGGTACCAAATACTATATAAGCTCTTTTCTTAATACCTTACCATATTAAACTAGCTTGACCTCGACTTTGACCTCACGGTCTACCAAAATTCTTAAAGGTGCACTAATCAGACACTGTAATTATCTATAAACTAAACAAATATTTATTTTTTCAAATAAAGAAAAATTAGGCAAGATTAACTTTTTGACAATAATTGTGTGTGAGATATGTACACTCTTTGGCAATGGCCTTAGGTTCGATTCTCGCCAAAGGTGAATTTGAACTCATTATTAAAAAAATATGCAACATTGAAAAGGAGTGGCTATACTTGAAAAACACACAAAAGTTGAGTCACAAAATTGAGCTACTTGCTAGCATATCGCATAATCAAGGTAGGCAAACTTTCCCTCATGCTGAATTTGATTGCGAAGAAACCAAATGCCCCATATAAAAGTATAAGCCACTATAATCCAAAGTTTTCAAGTAGAACTAGAAAACGTTGTAAGAAAAGTTTTAGAAATAACTTGTAACACTAAATGAACCACTAGAGAGGGAGGACAAAAAAACTTCAACAACCAAGCACTACTACAAAAAACACTTTGCACGACGAAATAAGTTTGTTGCGCAAAACCTTGCGTGTCGAAAGTTTGGTTGCGCATGGTTCGTCTCACAAAGCTAGTGACGATAGAGTTTGCGTGACGAAAATTAATTTTCATCGCGCAAGGTTTTTGACTTTTTATTATATTATTTCTCTTATATTTATTTAGTTATATTAATTGTTTACGCAACAAAATATT